TGCCCACCGGGCCACAGCTTGGGCCCCTCCCGCACGCAGTGCATTGGTGAGACTGGGGGCTTGGGTTCCTGGGAGGTCACAAGGCAGGGGCTAGAGGGGTAAGGCTACCAGCAGCAGGGTCAGAGGTCAGAATGGAATCAAAAGTTGAATTGGAGAAACAAGGCACAGCGAAGTGGCCAAGAGTCACCTGAGATCTGGGGTTAGAGGTCACATGGGGTCAGGGACTATATGGAGTCAGGGTCATATGAGATCATGGACTTGAGTAGGAGGGAGAAAGTCTAGAGCAGCTAGAATTGGGTCAGTGGTCACAGAGGTTTCAGGAGTCACATGAGGTCAGAGTAACAGGCCCAGGGTCACGTATATTCAGGGTCAAATGGGGTCAGGAGCCACATGAGGGTCAGGCTGGCCAGAGAGGCGAGGTCTGGAGCGGCGGGAGGAGGGATGTGGGCAGGGTTCAGGCCCAGATGCCCATGCCCATCACCGCCCCTGCAGCAGACAAGCCAGAGGAGAAGAGCCTGTGTTTCCGCCTGGTGAGCCCCGAGCACCAGTGCCAGCACCCGCTGACCACGCGCCTCACCCGCCAGCTCTGCTGCTGCAGCGTCGGCAAGGCCTGGGGTGCGAGGTGCCAGCGCTGCCCCGCTGATGGCACCGGTGAGCCTGGGGCCTCTGGGGCTAGGGGGCTGCCTAGCTGTGTGCCTGTCCAGGAAATACTCACTTCTCTGCCCCTTGCTCTGGCCACAGCTGCCTTCAAGGAGATCTGTCCAGCTGGAAAGGGCTACCACATCCTCACTTCCCACCAGACACTCACCATTCAGGGCGAAAGTGACTTTTCCCTTTTCCTGCACCCCGACGGGCCACCCAAGCCCCAGCAGCTGCCCGAGAGCCCCAGCCGGGGGCCCCCACCTGAGAACACAGAGGAAGAGAGAGGTCTGGCTTCACCCTTTCTATTCTCTGACAGACACCGAACCCCTAGACCTGACCCCTCGACTCCTGATCCAGGGACATGACCTCGGAGTGTAACTTTTAACACCAAATCCCAGTCCTAACCGCTGACCTCCAGAGCTGACCCTCTCACCCTAAGCAAGATTGTAATCCCAGGACTTAACCCCCGATCGACAGGATCTGACCATCCATTGCCCTCCAGTTCTGTTCCTCTAACCCCACAACCCCTTTGACTTCCAGGCCAGGGCCCTGATTCAGCCCAAATGCTGGCCCTAGATTTGACCTTCTGACCCTGACCTAGGATCTGACCCTAGCTGTAACCTCCTAAACCTTATTCTATAACCCAAAGACCTTGGCCAACTAATCACTCTCCCCACCTGTTCCCCTGACCTGTGATGCAAGCACTCCATGACCCCAGGATCTGACCCTTGACACTTGACCCAGAGACATGACTGTTAAACTCTTAAGAGCCGTAACTACAAATACCCCACTGCTGATCCCAGACGTGACTCCCTTCCCCCAGCCCAGCACTAATGGCCCCATCTCCTTCCCTTTTAGGGGTGAGCACAGACTCAGTGAGTATGAGAACCCTCGGCGGGAGGGGACAGGGAGGCAAAGAAGACACAGCGGGCTCATGCTGCTGTCACCTGCAGCCAGGGGTCGAGGAGCAGTCAGCACAGCAGAGCCACCCGACCGCCACCACCTCTCCTGCCAGGCCCTACCCTGGTGAGATGGGCACTGCAGGGGCAGTCCTCAAGGGCTGTCACTGCTGAGGGAAGGTCACAGCCTAGGCACTGGGGGGGGGGGGGGTGACGCTGGCTGTGAAGTTTCCAGCTGACGGCCTGTGGAGAGTGGGGCCACTCTCCCACCCTCCTCCCCTCTGATGGCTGCGTTGCTGCCCCCAGAGCTCATCTCCCGGCCCTCGCCCTCCACCGTGCGCTGGTTCCTGCCGGACCTGCCCCCGTTAGAGATCGCCCCTACTCAGGTCACAGGTAAGACCCGTCCACCTAGTCCATGCCCTGGGTAAGCCCTGCCCCTCGCTTAGTTTACCTCTGTCCCTCCCGCCCTCCAGTCAATCTGGAGCTAGAACACGTATCTGGGGCGTCCTGTGCACCAGGCCTTGGGGACCCCTCCGAGTGCAGCAGAGACCCCACTCTGCCATATAATGATCTGGGTATTATGATCAGCCCAGTCTGAAAGCATTTATTCCTTCATTCAACAGATATTTGTTAAGCACTTACTATGTGCCAGGCCCTGGTTTAAGTGCTGGGATACAGCAGTAAACAAAACAGACCAAAATTCCCTGTCCTTGCAGAGTGGGCAGACAACAAACAGATTAATGAATAAAAATCTAGTCTGTCTCATAAATGCTTGAAACAAATAATAAACCAGAGAAGAAGAAAGGAATCTGGGGGTTGTGATAATAGGGAGAGGGGCAACGAGAGAAGACTTTCTGAGCAGGGCTTTAAAGATTGTTAGAAATTAAAGAGGAGAAGGTTGGTGAAAAAACATTCCAAGTGAAGTTAAGTTTGGGCAAAGCCAATGGAAACATGAAACTGGTGGAAGAGGGAAAAACCACACACAGATCAGTGTTTCTGAACCAGAGCAGGGCCGGCACATGGAGCCTTGCTAAGAGGCTTGGGTTTGATCCCAAAGGCTGTGGGAAGTGTCTGCAGGGTTTTGGGCATCATAATTGCTAGCTGTAGCTGAGCAATCGCCCTGTGCCGGGCACTGACTGAAGAGATCTACATGCTAAATATCATTTAGCCTCTCACACTCTGTGAAGTGGGCATTGTTGGCCTCCTTTTCCAATAAGAAAGCTGAGGCTCAGAGAGGCTCAGTAACTTGCTCCAGGTCACACAGCTGAGCTAGATTCAAGCCCATGTTTTTGTGGATTCCAAAGCCACAGGGAGCTGTCAGCCTGATTGGAACCTGGAGGCTAGATTTGCTCCTGGGTGAGGGCTTGGGTGGATGATGGATGCCCTGGAGGCCTGCACTGCCTAGGACAACCCAGTGACAGCCCTGGGGACTGCGGGAGTGTGAGAAAGAGGCACCTGGGAGGATTCTCAGAGGAGGGGATGTTAAGAACGCTTAGGAGAGGCCCGCAAGGCAGAGAACAGCCCGCAGAAGCCCACTGGCCAGGTGTGTTTGGGGTAGGGCAGAGTTCAGCATCAAGGCCTGGGCTGCATGGAGATGGGGGAGGGGAAGAGGGTCAGGGGTAGGACCAAAAGGAGGAGGAGGAGGTAGGAGGCGGGACGTCCTGGGACTGGTGACAAAGAGGGTGAGAGGGGTTCCTGGATCTGGCCACTTATGCACCACCATGAGGCGAGCCACAGTCCCCAGGAACCCCGCTCCTGCCTGCCTTGGGAGGGGGAGGAAATCAACCAGCGGGGGGCTGAGGTCCCTGAGGCAGTGGGGGTGAGGGTCACGGGCTGCAGGGTTTAACATATTGAGGTAACGGGTCAGGGTACAGTGAGTGG